AGTTTTTTTTGATGTTGTGTTGGGGGGGGGGGGGAGAAGGAACAAAGTAGTTAATATAATAATGTTCTCTTGAATATAGGTAAGGCATGTAATTGAAGATGGAACAATTCATCTTTATATTTACTCCATCCATAACATTCCAAAGGGAGCAGAGATTACTATAGCATTTGATTTTGATTATGGAAATTGGTAAGTATTTGAGCATGCTGTTCTAAAATGCATCTAATGCTTGTTAAGCTATTGTGATTATTATTATTAGATTATTCATTATTATTTTAGTTATTATCGTTTATGATTTAGTTATTGTTATGATTCAGAGTGGCTTTGCTTTTATATCGCTTACTTTCCTGCACGCTTTAATAATGGCTCCTTAAGCACTGTATTCATGATGACTAGTGTCTCTGTATTTATCACTGCATATCTGTTGCTAATTTCAGCAATGTTGCAGTTACTTCTAAATGATGTGGAAAAGATACAAACTTAGATTAATATGAATAAGGATGTACTATGAAAACTTACTATATATAGTTGTCCCGTAGTGTGGGGGGAGTAGAGGGAAGAAAATCTAAAACTGTTCGGTAATGCCCTATTTCTATCAGAGTGCCTCTGTAGTATAACTTCAGGAAGACAGTGTCTGTGGAATTTAGTTATAACTCATGTTTAGTTGATACATGATTAAGAATGTTCAGATACATGGAATGCTTAGGGGCTTAGATTCTATAACCTATTACCCATTCTTGAATATAACTGCTGCTCATTTGATGAATTGGGGAAGGCACTAATAAACTGTTGCCATTATTTGTAAGCATAGTTTTGAAATGGTAAAGGAAATAATCAGTTAAGTTCTACTCACGTATGTAGGAACTATATTATTCAAACACCTCTTTGAACTCTGATGGCAAAAGAAGACCTTTGAGTGATATAATCTAGTAATGATTTCTCTTGGCTTAGTGGGAGATGTTCTAGGGTATAGGTACATTGTGCAGGAACACCTAGGCTAACACTAACCTTGGAAACTGAAGCATTGAAGAGCCTGTTTCTGTATGTGCACTTGGTCGGGTCTAGAAGCAGTCCTCAACTGTTGCATGTTTTGCTGCACCAGGGTAATACAGTTTTCTGTGGTCTGCTCATAAGTCAGCTTGGGTGCAGACATGCCTTCGCTACTTCTGGACCTGAACTAGTTACGTCCATAGAGTACTATCTGTATTAATCAACTTCGATTGAAACCTTGCACTGTTAAGTGTTGTAGATAGACTCCTGCATCCCTCACATGAAGACAACCTGAGAAATTGCCTCGTTGGTAGTTTTTAGGAGTTTTGTTATTTATCCTGTTAAAAGTATGTGTTTAGTACCTGCAGCTAACAGCCTCTGTAAGTTGAATGTGTTTGAATAACAGTTCCTACATATCCAAGTGGATATGTATAAAATTGTACAAAGCTGCCTCTAAGTTCTTTCCAGTGTGCTCGTTCTGTAAATTGTGTCTACATTGTCTAAATTGTGTTAATTTCTTTAATGTGATGGTTATATTTTCACCCAGGATGTACTCAGGTTTTAGATATCTTCCATCTTTTAAGCAAATACTAACCTTGAATTTAAAAGAATTTCGTGTGGCAAACAACCACAAATTCTATTAACCAGTAGATGAGATTTTTGAATTTTAGTGATATTCTATATCTTGGTCAAAACTTGAATCAGCTGCTTTTATTATGGTTGGTTTGCATCATAGCAAGCGTTTAATGTGAAATGTATTAGCTTGTGTGATTTAGTGTTGAAAAGTTGCATTGCTGTACAGCCTAATCAAAGTAATGCCTTCTTGCATTTTATTACTTCTAGTAAATACAAAGTGGATTGTGCTTGCCTCAAAGAAAATCCTGAATGTCCAGTTCTCAGACGTTCTGAACCTACAGAAAATATCAATACTGGATACGAAACCAGAAGGAAAAAGGGAAAGAAAGAGAAAGATGTTTCAAGAGAAAAGGAGACTCAAAATCAGAACATCACATTGGACTGTGAAGGAGCAGCCACCAAAATAAAAATTGCAGATAAACAGAGGAAGCTCTCTCCCCTCAGGCTGTCCATTTCTAATAATCAGGTATTGACTCAAAGATGACAGAAAGAAAAGCTTTTAAACACAAATACTCTCCTTTTGTAGCTATTAAAGAAATTTTAACAAGTCATTGAGAAGGGGTAATGATGGATAAGCTGTTCAGAATTTTTATACTACTCTCAGTTTTCTTTAATATTAGATTGTATTTAAAGATATGTTGGTTCCCATACCAGTTTCAACAATACAATTTTTGTCTGAATTTCTTTGTGGATCTCTAATGTGAAAGCCTCACGTCCATGCTTTCAGGAGCTCCCAGTCCATCCTGAAGTGTGTTTTGGTTAGTTGCATATGTTACTCCAGTGCCATATTATAAACACTATAACAAACAAAACTTCGACCCAGAATATTGTCGGCTGCAGCTCTGTAGAAGATTACATAGAGTTTGGGGAGTTGAGAGGAGGAAGGTGTGTTTTGAAGCTAAATAGTGGATAATAAGTGGATAGTATAGTAAAGCTACCTGGTACTATACCATGGATATTAATCCCATGGATTAATTATTAACTTAATGTTGCAGAGCAGCTATTAAAGATAAATATTTGACATGAGAAGATGGTTACCTTCAGGAACTCTTTTTTTTCTTTTGGGGGAGTGGGGGTGGTGATGGTGGTGGTTTGTTGGGGGTTTTTTTTGTTTGTTTGTTTTTTTTCTTCTTCTATTATGGTTTCTGATGATAATTTAGGAGAAGAGAGAAAGGCGTTACTCTGGGAGTGAGTAATTTCCAAGTTCTTAATCTTTCAACATCGCTTAAGAATGAAGGAAATAAGGTGAAAATGAGCATATTGACCCTCAGTTTTCATAAGATGATCAAATTGTTCTGGGGTTTTAGTAGCTAAATAGCTTAAAAATGCTTGGGAGTCCAGAAGGCATGGCATGTGACTTATCTCCAGAGGCAACATTTAAACTTTCTCATCTTAAGTGATTTTTCTTTTGTGGTTTTGGGGGGTTTTTTGTTTGTTTGTTGTTTTTTTGGAACTGTCTCAAGATTTTAACATAATATATAGTGCTTATATAGAACAGTCACAGGAGAACTAGTATTTTTCAAAACTGAACTTAAAACAGTAGTAATTGTAAGAAGAATAAAGCTGTTAAATTGCATATCTAAACATAGAAGCCAGCGAATTATATTTCACCTCAGGAAAAAAGCTATATTAGGTAAAGAAGGTGTATGGGAAAATGTAAGTGTACTTTAAGACAAATGTTAAAAAAACTTTGTCTAGTCCTTTATGTAAAAGCGAAATTGCATATAGGACTAGTGAACACTTAACTCTCTTGAAAGTAACTTTTTAAACGTTTTTTTCTTTTCAAATCAGAAAACCATTATTAGTTAGCTAACTTCTGTGTTTCCTTATGGTATGTCATTAGATTCTATAGTGAGAGTTTAAATGGAAAATGTGACTTTAGTAGAATACACTTTTGAACTGAGAAGAACATCCATGTAATTGTCTGTTAACATCTCCTTTGACATTCATTCTATTTCACTAAAACTAATGGTTTTTTTTTTAGTGGGCATGTCATGTAAACCTCCTAATTCTTTAACTGATTATAAAGTGGCTAGATCAGTGGCCAGTGTTAGTGCCCCAAAGAGTCTATTGGGTTGGAGGTTTAATTCTGATGATTATTTTATACTGGTTTTGGTTGGTGGGGTGGGGGAGTGGGCATGAAACCCCAAAATTACAGTAAGATCAGTGTGCTAAAGAAAAAAGATACTGATGTGTCTAAGCACAGAATGGAAAAGATCTAGTCAGATGATCATATTTATGGGTTTGTACAAATGTAGAAATGGATATTAGGGTTTTTTACATTTTTGTCTTGATTTATTGGCTTGGTTACTCTTGTTGTAGTGATCTGAGGATTCTTAGTTCTGTGTAGCTTTTAGTTTTCCCTAGTTTGCAAGAGTAGTAGGAGCTTCTGTAAAGCAGTCATTTCCCTCTTTCAGGAGCCAGATTTTATTGATGATATAGAAGAAAAAACTCCTATTAGCAATGAAGTAGAAATGGAATCAGAGGAGCAGATTGCAGAAAGGAAAAGGAAGATGGTAAGTTGGGAAGCAAGTAGCTGCTTAAAGTTGTCACTAAGGCTTAGTGACACCTGCTCTTCCCATGCTAATTGCTGCCTTTTTGTAGGCTTGTAGAATCTGAGTATATATGAAATCAGATCCTTATGTGAACTTCAACTTAAAACGCAAGGCTTGCTATTTGAGACCATTTCATCTGACTCGATCATTGCTTTGACAAAAACCTTTTTTTATCTTCAGATGTATGTAATTTTCTATTGCCTTTAAAAAGACATTGTAGAAATCATCTAGGTTTTATTTTCTTCACTATTTATTATTGCATGTTATTTGTAACGGCCATTTTATAGAAAGTATTGGGAGTCAGGATTTTTGCCTAATTATTTGAGTTCCCAAATTATAAAAGTTGGTAGAACAGTGTTGTGAAAACTGGCATTTTAAAATGTGCTTTTTTTGTTGGGCATTCAGAATGTGAGATACTAGAAATTACTAGTTAAATCAAAATCTTGGCCAAGTCACATAGTGAAATACTAATATTTGGAACTTGTATTTTATTGTTTGTGCTCACAGAACTTCTGATAAGTGGAGTTCAAGGTGACACCAAACCTGTCTGCACCTGCCCACACCTTAAAAAAAAAAAGGGGGGGGGGGGGGGAGAGATGGGGTGTACATTCCTTTTGGTCAGTATTTCCTACAATTCTGTCAGCAAAATTGATGAGACTTGTGTTTATTAGACAATAGAAAGCAAAATCTGCTCAAGTAAAATGTATATTAATACAAAATCTGAAGAATGACGGCATGAGCTGTAATATTAACATATAACAGTGTCTTGTCATGCTTTTGAGGAATGATTCTCGTGAAACTCTGAATGTGTTGGTTTTGCTCCAGAGGATGTATTGGCTTTTATTTGGCACTTTACATTTGTATTCTTGCTAAAGCAAAGCTCTCTGTGAAACTCAGTTACAACAGAGCTGCTGTAGTAATTAAAGATGTGATTACTACTTTATCTTCATTATGAGGATTGCAAGTAACTGCAAGTTTGCCTGCATTTTACCAAGCACACAGAGGCAGGTTCAGTGGCAAAACAGAATTGGATTCTTCATTCACTCATATAACCAATATATTTGCAGGTATTCTTCTTTCTTTGATATAAACGCATGGTTGCTATCAGTGCATCATTGAGCTGCAGGCTTTTTTTTTTTTTTTTAAAAGTTTGTAATAGAATTCTGCCTAATTCTGCCACCTCAGTATTGTCTTAAGCAGAGCACTGTGCAGATGAAGAGATCTGCCTCTGTACAGCACTAGGACCCGAATTATGGATAGACAGAAGATTTAGCTTGTCTGTGTGACCTAATGGTATCTTACTTTGAAATAGTGATTCTTGGATGTTGATTGTATGTTTTGATACAGTTTGTGACGCTTGGAAAAATGGGTCAGAGGGTAACGGACCTTTCTGTTGTTGTTTCATACATGTATTAGTATTTCATATCTTTCTGGTCATTAATGTTTCATAGTTTTTTAAGTACTATACATGCAAGTATAAATAGCTCAGAGCTGTGTGTTCTTTTTATACTTACAGGCCAGTGATTTACTAGTAAATCACTATCAAGTTCTTAAGTCTAAAGCAGAACTCTCTTCTTACTTGTCAGGGTTGGTATGAATGCAAGCCTTTCTTCAGAAGTCTGTAATAATTGCAGTCATTGTAACATCTCCCTTTCCTCTGAGCTTTTGCTGAAATTGATCTGTACATCAGTGTGCACTGAACATGTTCTGAAGTACTTTAAAAAAAAAAAAA